AGGTAAAGGTGGTGTAAATGAGAGGTCTTGTTTACACCACCTTTACCTCTCATTTACACCTCGTTTACACCACCTTTACCTCTCATTTGCACCACCTTTACCTCTCATTTACAAAAAAAAAAAAGGGATTTGTTTCACCTTCCTGCAGGTCAGTCAGACACTGCTGACACCACATTTACACCTCGTTTACACCACATTTACATCTCGTTTACACCACATTTACACCTCGTTTACATCACATTTACACCAAGTTCCTCACTCTGGCCACCAGAGGGGTGAGACCTTTTTGTTGAAACAAGTCAAATCAGCTCTGAAGGCATTTTTCCACATTAATAATTTATTACTGGATTCTCCATCATCATAAATTTTATTTCTGCTGTGAATTAAACACAGCTCCTGARGAATGGATTCAGGAAAATTCAGTGCAGGATTAAATTATCAAAATAGCCCCTCCTGGCTTTACAAATCCCTGAGTTTTGGGGTATCATTTATATTTTTTTAAACCTTCATACACAGACTTACTCACTGSAATTTAGTGCTCACTTGCTGCATCTCAGGATTTATCCAGTGGGATTTTTAATCTTTAATTTATTCATTTAATTTAATCTTTCATTAATTTAATCTTTAATTWATTTAATCTTTAATTATTAAGGCTCTTCCATGGTCAGTGAGACTGTGAGGAAATACCCTGTGGGATAATTTTTTGCAATCTTTAACATAAAGATAAACCTTTAGAATTTAATGGTTGGGAATAAGGATTTGAAATGGCTAGAAAGGCAGAAAAAAAAAAAATGTACTCAGAAGTCCAAAACAGTTGTGACTAATGAATGGCAAATGTAAGTAAAAATGGGCCTGATCCTCTACTGCTTGGTATATGGCAATGCAAGCACAAAAAAAAAAAAAAAAAAAAAAAGAGGAAGAAAGAGAAAAGTTGGGGGGGGAAAAGGGAAATTAGTGAACTTTCTGATCTATACAGAGGTTCTGGTTTTTGAGCTGTGCTTTTGCAGTGAAGTTCAGCTCTTTAAGTAGGAAATCAGGAAATTTTCAAAATAAAGTCCAGGATGAACAGGAATTTAGATCTCAACTCCATAACTGGACCTCTCTCTTTAGAAAACCCAAATGAGAGTAAAGACAGGTTCCTTCAAACACCAGAGCAGCAAAGCAACAAGAAAAACCAGTCAAGAAAAGCAAAAAAAAAWGTGCCCCAAGCAGATTTTGTGAAATTGAGATCATGAAAAACCACGAGTGGATCCCAGGCCCTAAAGGAAAAGTTTTTCACAAAAGTGTAACTCACCCAACGAAGGTTTCCAGGCACAGGGCAGCCCCGAGGAGGGCACTGAAGATAAAAATCAGCTTCATGTTTGATGGGAGTCCAGCTGGGCCTGGCAAAGGTGAATTTATACAGGGCTTTATTTTACAGATAAAGAATATCTGATAGAAATTATCGCTCCATGTGATTAAATTCTCACATTTATCAGAGCMTTCAAGGAGACCAGCAAGCAGGAGGCTGATTTCACCTCCAAAAAAAAATATTTTCCACTGACACATCCAAAATAGGGGGGGGGAGGAGTCGATCCCAAAGCTGTGACCACAAAAATGTGTGTCCTTTTCACGTGGTTTTCAGGGCAGAGGAAAACAGAGTCCAGATAAACCTATCCCAGCTCTCCCCAGGGGTGAGGAGCTCTGCTCTGAGGATTTCTCCTATGGATTTGGAATTGCCCATTCCTGATCCCAAAAATGCCCCAATTTTGAGCTGTTGTTGGGARGGCAGGATCCTGGTTCAGATTTGGGATCAATCTCCTGTGTCCCTGTCGTGGGAACACCCAGCTGTGGTTATCCCACAATTGCAGTAGGGTCATGGGTCTGTTGGGTAAAGGTTTTGTTTTTCCAGATAAAAAGGTGACTGAGGGACAGCCAGAAAGGACAGAGGGGATGGGTTCTGCTGCTCAATCCTGGAGGAAATTATTAACTCCCTGAAAGGAATTCCCTGAGGAAGTTTTCATGAAAATCTCACCGGTGTCGCTCTCAGTTTGTCAGCACCTCCTTTGAGCTTCCTCTCACCTCCACTCCACCCTGCTCCTCCTCCCCAGGTTTCCTGTTGTGTTCACAGCTCCCAGCAAATTCTTTGTCTTGTTTTTTGGGAACAGAAGGAGCCCCAGGCAGGGATTAACCCTGTTTTGGCCCGTAGAACTGACTCATCTTGTAACTGCTGTGTCTGGGGGGCACGAGGAGAACGAGGAGAACGTGCTCTGCTCAAAGTTCTCCGCTTTTGAGGTTTAACCAAACTCAGTCCTTGGGGGAAAAATATCTCCAGTCCCACAGCTTAAATAAAAACAAGAAATTTATCCCAAGGGACAGGAGCCATCACAGGAATTTCCTGCTCCTGGAGCTACAGAAATTCTGGTGGAAGTCAACTCCCACCTGTAGCTTACAGATTCCAGTATTTCCTAAGGAATCAGCTGACTGGCCACAGCACCTGCCATGGATTCACCCTTTCAAAACAGGAAGGAGAGATTTCATCTAGGCCTAAATTCGAGCTTGCTTCATTACTCATGCTACACCCAGATGGGTTTAGGAGTTTGCCTGCCAAACCTGACCTCAGGATCCAAAGCATCCCAATGAGCTCTGAGTGCCCAGATCAGCTTTGTCTGGGGCCTCCACCCACTGCACTTCAGGAGCTGCATCTGAATCAAACCTTTGTGCCCATTCCTAGGGCTGGATCAGGCTGGGAAAACTGGGAATGTTCCCCTGGAGAAGGGAAGGATGCAGGGAGAGCTTCCAGAACATTCCAGGAGAGCTGGAGAGGGACTGGGGCCAAGGGCTGCAGGGACAGGACACAGGGAATGGATCAGAGTGGAAAAGGGGAGATTGGGGTGGGATCTGGGGAATTGGGAATTTCTGCCTGGGAGGGTGGGGAGGGGCTGGGATGGAATTCCCAGAGAATTCCTGGATCCCTTTGAGTGTCCCAGGCCAGGCTGGAGCACCCTGTGACAGTGGCAGGGGTGGAACCGGGTGCTCTTTAAGGTCCCTTCCAACCCAAACCAYTCAGGGATCTTAGGAAGCTGCAAACACCAGCAATGTTAATCCCAGAGCCCAAAAGGRGAGCAGCAGGAAGGCAAAGATGGCAGCAGAAACCTCACCACAAGCAGCAGAACCCCCCAGGATCCAAACAGCAGGAGCAGAGCAGAGCTGGTGGCAGGTCCAGATCCTCAGCCAGAATGCCAACAAAACAAACCCAAATGTCCCACCTTGGAGCCCAGCTCAAGCAAACCCAAAACAATTAGGCTCAGCTTAAATGCAGCTCCCAGAGGCCGAGGTGGGTGGAGGGTGTGTGGGTGAGCCTGGCAGGGCTCTCATCCAACGTGGGCAGGGTGGAACGTKCTCTCCACAGAGCATGAAGAGCTGTGGAGTCATGCAGTGAGTCAGGAACACCCTGGGGACACGGGAAGAAGTCAAAGGTTAAATCAGTCTTGCCCAACCAAACTGTCTCCTTGTCTAAATTCACTGTGTTGGTACAAATTTCCTGTGTGCTGGCACTGAGAGAGGCCAGAATGGATACAAACCCCCAACAACACCCACAACAACAACCAGAAAAGCCTCAAAAAATCATTGAATTCCAGCAGAGTCACTCCATTTTTATAAAATCCAGACCCTTTGTTGCTGCCCCAAATGATGTAAACCAAGATCTGGTGTTGTAGCTTCTCCTATCACAATTAGGAAAAAAATCCCAGAGATATTTCACTGTTGGATAGAAATATTTATTTTTCCATCCCCTCAATTTAAACTTATAACACTGACACATCAAAGGGCTTTGCTGGTAACTCATCTCCTGGCTAATCAAGGTTAATTGGTTATAACACCAATTTATTTTGGATTATTGATGGAAGAACTATCATTTCTGTAAATGATGGATTACCTCCCTGTTTCTAATCCACCTTGGAAATGCCCTGGATAAAGAGTGAGCAGGGATTTCAGTGTGTGATTTATCACTTGTACATTTAGAATTAATTTTAGAAGCAGAACTCATATTTTTGATATTTCTGGAAAATCTGTGGCTTTGTGTCAGTGTAACAATAACCCTGGCTGTGATGGAACTACTTGTTTCCAACTTGTTTCCTTAAATCAGGAAATCAAGRTTGAAATTAGGAAATTAAAAAATTAGGAAATATTTAAATTTGGAGAGTTGTCATCAGACAAATCCACTGGATCATTGTGAGACTTTGCATTTCAGGATGTGGAGCACACAGATAAATTGTAACAGGAAAAAGGGGATGGGAAATTTTGGGAGAGATCCAAAATCACAATTTACCTGGAGATTAAAGACTGGCTCTCACAGTGACATCATTCCCTGGGATAATTATAAATAATAACAATTTCCATGGGTGTGAAAGGCTTTTAGAGAGGGAAGCTTTGTGCAAGGCACACAAAAATCTTCTGCTGAGGGCCAGTGGAAAATTTGGAATTCAACAATATCTTGAAAAATCAGAAATTCCAGCACAGGAGCAGCACGGGATTTTCCCTCTGATCCCCCCCGATAAAATCCAGAATCTTATTGTTACTTTGATCATTAAATCATTAATTAAGTTCGTTAAAACTAAGCCTGATAAGCTTCAATGAACAGACACAAAGAATTTGAAAATTTGGCATTTGAGGTCTTAAACTTATGGCACTTYAAGGAGGTTGGAGTAACCAGAAAAAAAAGGAAATTAAGGGCCAAAAGGTGGATACTCCTTGTCAGAGAAAAAAGGTAACAAAATTCCAAAATAATTTCAACCAGACAGCGTAAAAAGTGAGGAATCAATAGGGGATAGAATACTAATGAATGAAGAGAATTATGCAACTTAGAATCGATAAACATTAAATTGTTAACATGTATAAATCAGTGAAAAARTTTTGTATCGGGGCTCATGTGGAGGCCTGAACTTTGTCACCCCCACRCACAAACCTTGGCCAAGAATAAAGTCATGCCTGACTTACTAACATCAAAAGGACAGTTTTAAGTTGTTCTGTTTATCCCGACGGTTTCGGTGGAACTTGTACAGAAATGTAAAGTTGTGCTCGCACAGAAATATTGGGTTACACATATACACAAAGTTATGCTTCAGGACACAAAGTTATCCACAGCACACAGATACAAAATTCCTTCAGATTTCACCTGCTGCATGTGGCTCCGACAGACATGACAGTGTGTAATTAACGAATTTAACTATAAAGTCAATTAAAAGAAAAAAAACAGAGATAATGTGTCGCCGTGAGGGACCCTCCGCCCCCCCCAACATGGCGCCGCCCTCACGCCCTTCCCGCCAAAAGCCGC